ATAGCCATCTTTTACGGGTCTCCACTCGAGACGCTTGGTGTGAAAATGGGATATAACTTCGGGGAAATAATCGGGAACCGGTTCGCGTGTCCATTGGGCATTAGCGGAGCCCTACCCAGCATGTTAATGCTGCCAGGTACGTTGTAATGAGCCGGGGAAAATTGTGTAGCTATAAAAATAATTGTGTTCTACCCTCCCGTTCTTATGGTCTTCGATTAGTCGGAGACTACATTATGGGGTTTGCAAACTGTTTTTTCCCTTTGTTATTTTTAATAATAGCACGAAATCGGCTGGCGTGCTGTGGACCATCAAGACCTTAGATTAAGATAAACCGAGTCGTAATACCCCATAGTATTTAGCTTTGGAAGGTGTTTTTTTTATCCATTGAAGTGGTTCACAATTGTCGAAGTTTAGTTTTTTTTATGATAAAGGAGGAGAGACAAGCAGGTAGTTCACTTGATGGTAGGTGATATACCCCAGCATATAGAATCGAAATAAAATGCGCGGTCGACCTATTTTATATTTGGAAGTCCACAGACGGAAACCGAAACGCGATTATGCTTCACGGCTTTTTTATGTGTGGACGGTGGTCCGTGACCCCGACGGAATGTCTATATTCCCACCACCCATTAATTATTAACATGTGGGACCTGGTGGGAATAGAACCCAACCTCTATTAGACCAAAGAGCCCTTTAAAATTCCAGTCAATCCCTTAATAATATATTTCACGTTCTAAACCGTTAAAAGCGTAATAAGCAAAGCCTACGTTTTTAATCGAAACTTGATGAATTTTTCGAGAGCTGTTTCTCCCGCACTTTCTCCTAATTAAGATCTGTTTCAATTTTCTTTCAATTTCATTCAGTCCGAAACATTTCGGTCCAGTAATTCCTCTAGTTCCGTCCAATTAATATCAAGTATTACTTTTGTGATTAATGAACGCAGTCTGTCTATGATTGGCGAAATATAATCTACCCTCAGTGTTATGTTAGACCGTGTTGTATAATACGAAAAATAAACAGTCATCGTTATCCGTCTTTCTGCGGCAATGTAAGGGTAACCTCTGTTATCGTATGTAACGTACGTAAGAATCGTTATCTGATAATCGCTTAATTATATTACGTTGATCAGTAATCGTAAAAGTAAAGTAAAGATTTAACATATTTTAATGTTCTCTCATGTTTGTGTAAAACGACAATTGTGATCACACACACAAATAAAATACATTTAAGCGGTTTAAAAAGGGGTTATAATTTTTTATAACGTGGAATTTAATTTTTTTTTTTTTTTTGGGCGGGGGGTTTTGGTTTTTTTTGGGGGGGGCCCCCCCCCCCCCCCCCCCCCCCCCCCCCCCCCCCCCCCATAGTACACATTTAAATAAGTTAACTATAGACGCTAACGTAATACTGCGTAAACTATAGACGTCTACTTGTTTACTTGTGTCACTAGTTTCGGATGCTTTGCAGCAGCCGTGGCCACTGGGGGACTGATGATGTCCCTAACGTCAAAGTCACATCTGCTACGCTAGGGCCACCTGTTTCGTCCTAGTTCATATTTAATTATTATGAGTAGTTAAAATGCATTACAATTGTTTAAATATAAATCGCATTTTAGAGCGTTAAAATTCTTTGATATAAAATTATGTATATGTTAAGTACTACCAAGAAATAATTTATCTTCTTCATGATGCTTAAAGCATGTATTATAAAATACTTTTTGTGTAACTGTGCAATGCTAGTTAACAAACTCCTCCATACCGGCTAACTATATTGTTAGTAATATCAAATGCTTTAACGGCTGAAAACGCGATATATATTTAATTAAACTTGTTTTAAAATTATTTTTAACGACGTTTCGGACGCTTTGCAGCTGCCGTGGTCGCGGTGAGATATTTTGTTTACTATATCTTTCAAACCCCTATATGATAAGAATTTTCCTTTGTAAAAGTTGGTTTTTTAGCAAACCTTCGCCAGGTCAGCAAGTAGATACAACAGTTACAGCTCATAATATGTACTCGATCGAGTATACAACACACTCGATCAGTCAACTTGGAGTAAAATTATATCTTGATCATGGTCATGTAAGGCCACGCCTGTCGTCCCGGACTTTCTTTACTTAATTACCCTCCCGTCAAAGTTACATCAAAGAAATTACAGCCATCATTTGTCATATTCGTTACGCGGGCTCCTACGTCCCGAATTAAATCTTAACACGACGTTATTAAGTTTAATTTCGCACGCGTTATTAGTTTTAATCAAATCTGAGCCTCGTAAGAAAATTATGCTGTGTTTTAATTTTCTAATTACAGCCTTCAATTAAGTTATCTCTATCAGATAAAATTAATATTAAGCGATGGGGGTTCAGGCGCTTCGTAAATGGGGACGCTATTCTATTTTTTGTTGTGCTCTAAGCCTAGCTCTAAGTCATTTTTATTAAATAAAATAAGTAAAGTTTTCAAAATAACCGTAACTAGCTGTGTCAGCGACTTCGTCCGCTAGAATCGCTATTTTGAGCTTCCAAATTCGTTTTTGCTAGCCCCTTCATCTTTATAAACTTAAGCTTTTACCCACGATATCGGTCGCGTTCTTTTCCATCGTTCTTGCAAGTTAATGTTAAAAAATTACATATAGCGTCGCTCTTCTTAGGTTATTTAAAGAGGAATCTTTCTTTCATACATATTTTTTGGGTACCTTGAACCGTTTTTGTAGTGTACGCCTCGGAATCCCACAATAATTAGAAATTTTCCCATTTTTCTCGCTGTATCTTCGCTCCTATTAGTCACAGGACGATTTAAAGTCTATAGCCTTCCTCGATAAATGCTAACCAAGATTTTTTTCAATACGAACAAACAAACTCGTCAGCTTTATAATATTAGTATAGATAGATAAGAAAACTATACTAGTGTAAACTCTTCACGCACAAAGCCTTTTAATTAAAATAAACAAGTAAAGTTTAAGTCATAGAAAATAAAAAACAAATAATATAATGATTTTCAATATATTTCGTGGATAGATTTATATTTTTTAATTCTGCCATTTTATTTAAATGATTGCACATAGCCTGCGTGTATTAGAATGTTAACTGACTGGACTATACGTAGACTAAATGTTGTCTGTGGACTGTCAAAATCACTTCTCTACCACGTGGCTTCGCTGTCATGTAAAAAAATACATAGTTTCACCCAATAACACACACTGATCGTTTGGTTTATATCCCATCCGACAAGCGATAACAAACAGGGCTGTTCGCCATCAAGCGAACGGTAAATTGAGAAAACAATCAACCAAATAAACAGCCCGAAATAACTAGAATAACGCTCGTGAAGAACTCGTGTAATGGTACGTAAAAGTCAACTCGGGAAGCAAACTCATAAATTGAGGTTCGGCTGTTATATTAGAGTTTGGGTAACACGAGACGAATTGAACGTTATTTAAGTGGGGCACCTAGATTCGGAATTTTATTAAATCACTTTTTATAGACATTTTATAGAAAATAATGATGACATGAGCAGGGCTCGAACCCACGGCTACATTGCGGCACTGTTGCTTTGTGAATTGGTGAGATTGTATTCTTGTGTTACCCCAGGATTCGAACGCGGGACTTCTTACGCAACTGCAATGTTACTTTTACCATTGAGATGCGGTCACAGATGCGGTCAATCCTTGAAATGTTAGGGTGCGTCGTTTCTGTGTTCGACCATATAAAATAGGGCTCTAAAAATTTCCGTCAAAATAGTTTCATTTAACGGGTACAAACGTAGACTACAGACGACATTTAATGGCTGTAGTGAAATGATAATAATCAAAATAACATTTGTAACCGAACCGTGTAACGCCGCCGCGGTCTTAACGACCCGTCTACCAGAATTTGCAATAACCGTAATAAATTACAATCCAATCCAACTTGGTCTAATAAGACGGGCCCAGGATTTTGTTAGCGCCTCGGGTCCAAATTCCTCGGTGCACAGGATAATCATTAATTTAATTGAGTTTGGATACAGTTTTGGTTAAATTAAACTGTCGCAACTGTTTTGAATATAATCTGTGTTCAACGATAACATTAATGTCTGATTAATCTAACAACTCTGTTCGTCCGGATTTTCATTTTATGTTGTAATTGTTGTTTTTATTTTAATGTTGGCAGTGCCACTGTGAAATCGGTTTTTATATACTGTGTAATGACAGAAATATAGTTTGGCCTAAGATATTGAACATCCTACAAACAATGGTAAAACGTTTATAAACTATTAATTCTAAAAATGTTGTAATTATATAATGGCTATAGTTTACGCGGGTAGTACACATTTAAATAAAACACTTTAACTTTGCATTTTATCAGGCCGAAGTTGAAAAACATTTTCAAATAAGTTTAACTAATACATCGCGTTTCAAACGGTTAAAATATTTTATTTAAATGTTGTAATGGCTAAACATTAGCATTAGACATTAATGCATTAGTTTCGGTCGGGCAGGGCTGTATGTTTCTGCCCTATCTCATATGAAAAAGGTTTCATTTGTTTTAACTAATATAAAAAGAATGGGGCATTACTGACAATCGGCGTGCTTACTTCCAGATACATTAAAGCAGAGTGGTGTCATACATCTATTTTATTATTGACTAGCGACCGGCCCCGGCTTCGCTCGGGTGCAATGCAAAAAAATTATGAACATTGTAAAAACCTCCTTTTGAATCACTCTACAATTACACCCACGTCAAAGTCCGTTGCGTACTTGTAAAGATACACGCACATAGGGACTGAAAAGGCTACTTTGTTTTATATTATGTAGGGATTTTATGTTATTTTGTGTATTTTTTGTGGATTAAGGATTTGATTTGATTTCGCCGTTATTTAATGACGTACGTAACGATTAAATAAAATTACCTTATTCATGAGTTAATGAATTTTACTAATTATAAACAGGGAGAAAACATTTTCTACGCTTAAAAACTCAATTTAAACACTTCACACTCATATTGTCAGTGGAACAACTCGTTTCGAACAATGGAACATCTCAAAAGTACAATTATTCACGAAAAAGTCCATCAGACGAAAAATTATAGCTCTAAAACCATTACAACACATACTGCGGTGCATTGGAGCGGAGTGAAGTGGAGGGGAGAGCGAAGTGGGAGGGGTGCTCAGACGGAGGGGAGTAATCCCATAATTATCGGCTTAACTCGAGACGACATTCGCAGGTGGGTACGGCGAACGATCAGGTGTACTCTACGTATTTCAGGGTTATGTTGACAAATGTTGCCAGATGATAATTGATTTATGTGGGATTTGTCCGATTCGGTCTGTGCTTGTTGGAGGGGGGGATTAAAATGCTGATAGCCGGCTCAGCTTGTACGGGAACTCGTGTAATGACTGCTTTTTTCCTGCCGTCATATGAAATAATTGCCTGGATTGCACAAGCCAACAGTACTATAATATGGATTTGTACGAAATTTCGCGTCTGTGTCTATATAGATCACACCGATATCTAACTAACAAACCTGTTTTATTTACAAATGTCTCGAACTTTTGGATGTTGTAAAAGAAATTGTTAGATTTTTTGTTCGCTAAAAAGATCGACATCCCTCATCAACAATCATTGCACGTTAAGATACAATTATACTTTTCTTTATATGCATATATATATGCTCTTTAGCAGAGCTATTTAGTACTGTCTATAGTTTACGCGAGTAGAGCATCATTTCCAAACAAAACCCCCAAACCAACAAACAAATATTTTTAAGATTAGAATATAAACGCATAATATGTATAAGTTAGTTTAAATGTTGACCACTTAATACATTTTTTCATCCAAAATACATATATAATTTTATAAATTTATTTTCAATAAATACATTGAACCTTTATAACAAGTAGGGTTAAAGTTACATTGCGCAAGAGTGCATGTAGATGATTAAAGTAATTCAATGTAGATGAGCGACACAGCTTTGCTATAGTACAGAACCCTAATCGCTGCTCTCTCCCCCCCCCTATCGTGGGTTCAAACGATCTCATCGTAATATTCTTAAATAAAATAATACACCTACCATATAAACAATTTGAATTTTATCAAACAATAACGTTTAGTGTTTCCAAATATAATAAACGGCATTTGTGATTTTAGCGCCAAGTGTACCGCGGTCCACGGACCTTTCCAACTTCGTTCTAAAAGCCTTTTGTTTTGCTTCTGCTAATGGAAACTAACGTAAATTCGGTGGTTTAAATGACCCAGGGATTTTATTCTACTTGTTACTAAGGTGCAAAGGAGGGTTATGTGTTACTGTTATATTTAATTAGGTAGAAAAGTGTCTTTATAAATATTTACTTCGTTTGTAGTTTACGCGAGTAGTCCATTTACATAAAACACTTCAAACGTGAAATATTTAAGTTAAACTAATTTAAAAACAATTTTAACTACGGTTCGATGTTTCGGTTACTTTGCAGCCGCCGTGGTCACGGGGAGACCGTCAGGCCGTAGTTAAAATAAGTGTATCTTATTTAAGTAAGAAATCAAAGTAAACTTGGCCGATCTAGACCAGTATTTAAAAATGAAAATTCGCAGTGGTTTCTCTATCCCCCCCAGCAACACTAATCATATTTATTACTAATTGTTAACTTTTAATATTTACAATATTATATATATTTTATTCAAAGGCAAAGAATTTTGTGTTCAGAATAATAAAAATTAAACAAATCCCCCCCGATGCCCTGACTTAGAGAATCGATATCAATCGAATCATTACTAGGACGCACAGCTTAAAACGATTCCCGTGTACGAGCTGGATAACGTATGGTCTATCGAATTTTAATACCAGATTTGCCTGGTCTATGCCAATATCAATCTGAGTTAGGCGAGCGATTCTGAGCCCTCAATTGCTCGTGAGAGATTCTATTGTGGTTCGAGTTCGATCCTTTTATTAGATTATCAATTGTGTGAATTAGTGAAATCTATTTAAATAAAACACTTTAACGGTTTAAAACGCGATTTATTAGTTAAACTTATTTGAAAATGATTTTTAACTTATAAAGGAATCAGGAAAATAGTACGTTGAAATTATTAATACAGAAGAATAAAACAGGATTCTATATAATTACCTAGTCATTCTATAACTCTAATAGAATATATACTATTAACACTTAATTCATGAATTAACCCATCCAAATCTTAGCATCTTCAAACTCAAAGCCTTTTAACGGTTTAAAACGCGAAATTTATTAGTTAACTCATTTACATTTTAACTGCATAATTTTTAACCCGACGTTTCGGATGCTTTTCAGCAGCCGCGGTCACGTGGACGTGTTCTAATACATTTCGCGTTTTAAACCGTTAAGTGTTTTATTTTTAACGTGCCCATCAAAAAAAGATAAGGCCAATTTCACACTGGACGCGTATCGTTTTACTCGAGTGGAATCCGTACAAGCGACCGCAGAATTCCGCTTCAACTGGGAGTACCTTACACCGCATGTCATACGATACTCTGTGGCGATTTTAAAAAGCAAAACTATGTCTGTGGTCCGGACTTTACCCTAAAAAAATTAAAGCAAATTAATGGAAAAGTTTCATAAATAAAACCATGACTTTTGCTTTATACACACAGACAAACATTTGTGTTTAACTCTGTGGATTTTTTATAAAGACAAAATATAACTGAAACATTACCGTTACGTTAAAATCCAGGTACTAAACAATATAATCACAAACTATCATATCCCAGGATTCGAATTAACGAAGCCACAGATTTCGTAACGGAGTAGCGAAGCTAGAACATCGAAACCTTATTTCACATGTTAGTTTATATAGACACATACACGCTGAAGTTGATATATTAATTTAAATAAAAATGTTCCTTTATTTCGTTTAGACTTTACTCCATTAGTTTCAGTTCAGTTAGAAATAAACATGAGGCTTACCAATAGTAGCGAAAGAGTGGGAAATGTGGGAAATGTGGAAAACAGAAGATAGTTATATCATTGTTTTAACGTTTGTCTTAAGATGTTTACTCCTCGATTGATCCCCTTACACAATTTAGGAGATAATTATCTTTGAGGATTCCCTTTGCGTGCGCTACGAAAACGGTTCAAGATACCCAAAAGATATGCATGATTATTATTTTTCCAACAACATAAAAATGTCCGCGACTGTCTGTCTGTCTGTGAATGTCTGTCTTTTAATATTAAGTCACAAGAACCTTACCCCTAGGAATATCATAACCTATAGTTATTCTTATAATTTCTTACACGAAGTTACCACTGAACAGCTTAACAGTCGAGCTTTACGTAAACTCCAAACGGCTTTCCGTGAATTCCATTGCATTTATTTTCTCAGGATCCTGGTACCGCCGTCGTTCTCAATGACCGCAACTAAGTTCTTCAGTTACAAGTACGTCACTTTGCACTATGGGCTTCGGATTTTGAACTCAGCAGCGTCGACCTCTCTTGTAACTACGGACATTCTTCTACGATACACACAGCTACAGAATGTAATATTAAAATTAATATACAACACCTGTGGTGCATACCCATACGGGTAGAATCGAATTTCTTTAAAAATAAAATTTTTTTAAATTGGTAGAGCAACAAACAAACAAGACCTAGTCCTACCCGAGTAGTATTATGCAATACATTTTCGATATTAAATGTATTTAAAATGCCATTTTAATTAAACTTTCGTTAAAATACTTGAAAAACTTACGCTTACAAATATGTTGTTCACATCTGTAATAGACAATAATAAGACATATTATATGTTATATTTAACACGGCGTGATAATATATTTTTTTGTTATTTTTCAACCACATGTTCGCGTGAGGTTTTTCAGTAAGGAAATATTTAAAAAAGTATTTTTATCATTTCCTGAAACAGTAAGTAAACTGGACACCGATCTAGGTGTCCAGTTTAAAACCGTTCAAAGTATTTTTGAGATGTTATTTCTCTCTTGTATCATCCTCCCCAATACGCAATAAAAATGGCACTTGTTGAAAAACGAAATATCAATAACGCCCTTGCTGATACGACAAAATGATATAGCCACGAAAACTTGTGAAATATCACATAAGCACGATATTTATGAACCCCGCTGGGGTCTGGGTGTCCCGAGATATTTAGCACTTAAAAAATAATTTCGCCATCTCACGAAATAAGTTTAGCGAGGGTTGAAACTTGATGCCACAATGTACTTGCCGAGTCCTCCCTAGGTGTTACTAGCGTGCACAAAGTAGAATTTTCCGCTTAACGGTCGGGTGTTCGAATTTCTTACCTAATACACGTAGCAATGCTTTTAAATTTTAATTATATGTATTATTATAGATATACATATATTTTTAAAACATCTTGGCAATTTTATAGCTAACAATAAATCACATAGCGTAACATTATTTATATTTTTATAGATAGAATTGCGTCATTTTAGATTGGTTTTTCAAAATAACGATTTTCTTAAATTGCTTTACTAAAAATCCTATAATTTAGTAATAATAATAGATATTTTTTCATTAATATTGTACAAGTTATATAAAAAGAAAAAGATCTTGTTTAGTCGAAACTGAATTAAAAATCGATTTTATATTGAAAATTTTACATCACGGGCGGGACTCAACCGCACCCAGAGCATCCCGTGCTGTTGCTCTAACCATTTAAGCTACCGTGTCCTACACGTCGCCGTCGATTATTTTTTAACCTATTGATATTAGCACCAACTAATAAATTGCCATGTGCAAAATAAAAAAGTTTTAAAAGTCAATTTTTTAAATCTTTTCATGACTTGACATTAAATTAAACATTATTAACGGTTCTAAAGGCGTATGCTCATGACCGCAGGTTATATGCTACTACGATGCTTACTAATCAACTATTATACAGTTGGAAAATGTTTTATTTATTTATTAACTTGAAATGAAATCACGTACTAACAGTATAAGATAATTAAACCTCATCTAACCGTGAAAACGGGCAATTGGTTGTCTGAAGTGCACTCACGGTAAGTTGTAGGCGAGACACGTCAACCCCGATTGAGGAAAAAATCTTATTTGACAGGCCCCACCAATTTCCACCCTACTTTACACTTCACGCTTTTCCTCTAAGACACGTTGCGTTATGTGGATACGCTTGCATTAGTGAAGGGAAGTATTTATTTATTATAGCTTCACTATTACACATACCACAAAAAAAAAACACATAATAGAGGAAAAATCTTACGTCCTAACTTATAAATAAAAGGCGGCCTTATCGCTAAGTAGCGGTCTCTTCCAGGGCCAGCGCACCCTTGGTCTAGCCGCAAACACTGTGCCGACGGCGTTGGGCAAATACATAATAATTAATAAAAGAGTATTTCAAAGAAAGTCTAACTAAATCGTTCGTTTTTCCAGTCTGTCAGTTTATATCCATATAATCAAAGGGACGAAAATTGCGCCTTCTTATTCAAGAAGCAACTTCATACAAAACGTGACCGTGGGGTGCATACGTTGAAACTGTTAAAAAAGCTCCCCTTAGACCCATAGGGTCCCCCAATCGAACCTTGTACTATAAATCAAATTTAAATCTTATCACGACGGGCTAAAGATTAACTTTGATTGTTAGTTGTTTTATCTCAATTAGATAGGTGCATTCTACTGTAATGATCGTGTTTAATACATGATTTTAATGGATAAACGAAAGGGAAATTTAATTTTGAAGTCTAATAATATAAATCTGTACTAATATGAAGCTGAAGAGTTTGTTTGATCGCGCTAATCTAAGGAACTACTAGTTCGATTTGAAAAAAATATTTTTGTCTGGCTTAGCGTATTTATTGAGAAAGACTATAAAACATCACGATGCGACTAATAGGAGCGAAGAAATAGTGGGAAAGTGGAAAGAACCGGAAAATTATTCATCATTGAGAGTTTCCATCGCCGGCGCTGCGAAAACGGTTCAAGATACCCCAAAAATATGTATGAAAGAATCATTCCTCTTTGATGATCTAAAAGTCCACGACACTATATGTCTATCCATTAAGATTAACTTGCAAGAACGCGACCGACATCGTGGGTAACAGCTATCATTTAGGTAAAGATAAGGAGGAAGTTTGCAAAAACAAATTTTGATGCCCCAAACATCGATCTAGTGATCGATGGCCCCAAATGACTATTCTACGCGGACGAATTCACTAGCACAGATTTGGGACATAGCCTGTTGACATAGTCAGCGAAATCTTAATAATAGGGTCCCGTTTTGAGATGTGTCTACGGAATCCTAAAAACCACAGACCCAGATAGGCACTACACGACTCCAAGTCCTCGTGAAAGCATTCCAGCAATTTGGCAAGCGATCGGAATTTAGTGGAAAATCAAAACAGAGGACTACTTCAATGTAGGCAGTCTTGTTGAATTTGAATCCATTTACTTCGGCGGTAGCTAACTGAATTCGTATGCAGTGACCCGACGAGATTCGGAATTTATGTCTTTACATACCTGACTTAGTTTCCTGTGTCCTTAACGCGTGTGGGATAAGGATGACTTTTTAAACGAGATTCTCTATACAAATGGGATTTAAAATAAATGGATAGGTAATATGAAGATGTGTGAAATGTATACTCATTTAATTAACACACTTTCAACGGTTTTAAAACGCGAAATATATATACTATAGTTAAACTTATTTGAAAATGATTTTTAACTTCTTATTTATTTAAATAATAATATTTTTGGTTTCCCCAAAAAGCTTCAGAGGTTTTAAAAACAACAAAAATGGGGCTGGGAAGAGAGAGGGGACCCTTTAAAGTGTATTTATTTAAATGTGTACTACTCGCCAGTAAACTTAAAATAGACTGCGCAGTAAAACAGATTAATTAGAAATCTAGATAGTAAAAGGGTGGTATTTTAAACCAAAAACCCCCCCAAAAACCCCAACCGGTCTTTTTTAAACGGATTGTTATCTATAAAAAAAAAAAAAAAAAAAAAATTTTTTTTTTTTTTTTTTTTTTTTTTTTTTTTTTTTTTTTTTTAAAAAAATTTTTTTTTTTTTATATATTTTTTTTTTTTTTATATTTATTTTTTTTTTTCCCCCCCCCCCCCCCCCTCCCCCCCCTTTTCCAATCTATGTTGTGATGTTCATAGTTTTTATAGATTAACAAGAACCCCGGTTTGTATTTAGGCCCACAGATATAAGAAAACATTAAATTTCTATAGCAAAAGCGTCAGAGGCCGAACGTTTTATTGGCAGAGAAGACACGTCAAAATGCTTTCGACGATTCCGAACGACGTTTAAATCAAAATTCGGCGCGTCCCCAAGTGGAAATCGATTGGTTGCGGCGTCAGGGCGGTTCAGCGCTCCGAACAGCCTGGATTTACAGGCTCGGGAGATATTTTACATTCCCGATGTACTACATACACTGTTTGTAGTTTACGCGAGTAGTAAACATTTGAATAACACACTTTTAACAGTTTCAAACCCGATAAATAAAAAAACACCATACTGGTAAATGCGAAGACATCATTAGTCAGTTCTGCGAGGACCCGGCCAGTTTCGCCAAATACCAAATACAAAGGAACAGGTGTCGCTAGCGTAGCAGTTGTCACTTAGACAATAGAGACGTCGGCAAGGCATTCGAAATCATTTGTAAATAAGTTAAACATTTCGCGTTTTAAACCGTTTAAAGTTAAAAAAAACTACAACACTACTAACATTCCATATAGATTGAGAATCGGATGATCAATAATTTTAGTCTGAACTATGTTTGCTGTAAAGCTTTTTTTTTATTAGCTGAGAAACGCGAAAAACCAACTTTTGCAAACTTTTATCATCAATCAAAAAAAAACTGCACTAATTCATACCTAATGTCATTAATACCAATTATCAGCTCTATAAGAATTATTGTAACTCTATACCTTTATTGAAGGAACTAATTTGTCTAGTTTTATAATGTAAGCATCGTTTTAATATACCCATACTACGAAATTCACTCAGTAAATTTAATAAAGCACAGAAGTTACAACTTGTTCGTAACAGCCTTTGTGAAATTCAAAATAATACTGGCCGCTCTACTAATTCATAAATAGAATCAAAGTTTCAAGACTGGAACCGACAGGTATTTCGCAAAGTATCTCTCGGAGTTGTAACTTTATGCGCTGACACTTGTAGAACATCTAACCCTCTAGCACCGGGAAGGGTCTAAAAGGCCATAAACGATTCGTATTTTATCAGCTATCACCTGCTGCCAGAAATTGCTGAGAGAAATCTTTTTGTGACATCGAGTGTCATGGTTCCTGTGGGTCGATAGGGGTGTCGCAGGAGGCAAACATTTAATATGTGGAACGAAATTTTGAAAGTGATCTACTTTAACAGGTAAAAACGAGATTTATTGTTCGTTGACATTATTTAAACTTCAACCCAACAATTTTTTTTAATTTATTTAAATTACTTACTAAATTTTATGGCGAAATATATTTCTTATTTAATAAAATTCACTAAGTCCAAGCACTTTATGAATAAGTTTAAATCGTATGTAACAAAAAGAGGGTCATTACGACTTAATCAACAATTTCAATGACTAAT